GGTTTACCTCTTGCGGGGCTTCATCATAAATATATGTACGGTCACCAATACATAGCTTATCCTACCGTAGTTTACAAGAACCCTCCTGAGCTTTGTCAAGGTATAACAGTTTTCTACAAGCAAGCCGAATTTTTCGCGCGAAGTCTTCACTTACAGCAAATGCAGAGCTTTTCAACTTATATGCGGATGACATCACGGTGTCTCTTTTTTTTTTTTAAAGAAAAGAACCAACGCTAACGATGACAGGACGGTTTTAATTTTGTTTAGAAAACCCCATGCAATATGCTCGCGCAATTTTCAGTCGGCTCAATACTTATATGAAGCAAATCAAAGCATCGTTTAATAATATGCTGCTCGTAATGCCCTGCTCTGGTAGAGAGTCTGACCAATGAAGAGCTGGAGACATAAGACAAAAGCTCGAAGAAAATTTAGTTTAGTGGTAGTCAGAAAGTTACACTGAATAGACATTACACAAATCATATTTGTAATATTGAATATAAATCTTACAAAAACATGGGTCACAAATCTGTGTTCTCGTTTACAAACTGATAAATTTACTACGATTAACCGAACCAAAATATGATGGTTTCAAAAAGTTACGGCGAGTGCCAAAATTCTCATCTGGCGGGTCGATGGTAGACGACGTCTCCCTGCGCGGTCCGTCCAAGGTGGAGGAGTTCCGGTGATGAGCTGGCTCACCAAGGGCGGTGCTCCCTGGCCTCCCACCCACCTCTTGAGATGGCACGCACACACTCGATGGAAGTCCGACCTGTATTTGGCGGGGGGCCGTCGACAGTGGTCTCGTCGCTCCGCTCGACGACGCGATGCCTTGGTTCGCCTCCGAGTCTCCTCTCGCACTGCCCTTTGTTCCTAACCCTCAAACCCAGGCTCGCACAGCAAGCGTAGGAATTCCCCTCTCCCAGACGGTCACTGCCTTGCGGATCTGCCCTTTGACCCTGAAAACAGTTGGCCTCCCCAACCGAAAACATTTCCCGCCGCTTCCAGTACTATAGGTTCTAAGGTCCCTTCATGTGTTTTCGTTTGGTTTATTTTTGGGTAGAGTTACGAGAAAGCGTGCGGCGTAATATTTATGACTGCGTGGCCGCCACAGACACGGCCGTCTGCGGCCCATGGCTTCGGGAGTAACCCGAGGCTTGGGCAGAGCAGTTAAGAACCGGGGGCTAAACACGTCCCCCCATTGAGCCCAGGCGGGTGAGGGAAGGGAACCACCGAGCGAGCTGCCGAGAAATACTTCCCGCACCTGTCGGAGTATTCGAAGATGGGGGAGGACTCCTCGAAACTAGGCCGCTCACCTGGACACACACACCCTCCCCGATCTTCGCATACTATCATTGCCGTTTTATGTGACAGTCGTTAGCCTACCGTTTTGATTATTATTTTGCTTTGCCTACGGCGTGAATTTCACTTATTAATATTAGAAATATACTTTCGTTTTTAACCGATACGAGCGTCGCCTCTTTTACTATTCGTTACACTAAACTCGGCCCTAACATTTCTCCACGGAATAAACCTAGTTACTTTGTCCTTGTAAGTAATTTTCCGCTTTTTATCAATTTCTTTATGCCCGAACTGCTTTGTTTCACACCTTTAATAACATGGTTTTAAGAGCACTTAAAACTGGGTTTTAAGAGCCTTCAGATCAAACTCATTTAAAGAATCGGCGAATCGGTTCGCGATCTCCACTCTGCGCGTGCCCAACAGGACGTATACTGGTTCGCCGACCTATTCTGTAGTAGCTGAACTGTTGTCTAAGTTCATCTCATCGTCCTTTCGCTGCCAAATAATACCGCTATTAAAATTAAAGCAAAAACGTTAGGTTTTGAAGGTAACCGTAACGGTATATCATGACGCTCGTAGGACGGTAACGAATCTTATTAACTTTTTAATTTTTGACGATATAAAAAGTGGCGCTATTTTGTTACTATTTCCTGTAACGGCCGCACACCTGCTTGGGTCCCACTGGTGCCAGAAAGCCCAATAACAAATATCGTTGCACCGCCCCTTGAAGCTGACAGTGCGGCGGGAGCTATGGGTTTGCTGGAACAGACAACCACTTCCCTTACATCGCCTGACCACGATCTCTACGTGGATGTAGGTGGGAGCGCGGGCATGCGGCGAAAGGTGGAGGTATGAGAAGTCCAACGGGCTCGTAGCTACCGCCACCCTGCCAGCTGAGGCCCTTTGCACCTGCCATCAAGAAAAACTATTAGCGTTCAACATAATTGGGTAAGTAATTTTAAGTAATTAAATTCTTAATTATTGATTTTAAAGGCATGGTTTCAAATGGAATCTTGCTGAGCACCATCGAAAGCTACTAAATGCATCTACGGTATACAATGGTATGAGGCACGCGCAGCATTTTACGGCCTTCCGAAGAAATGCCAAATTTGGCTCCGTGTCTCGGTGTCGGTATCTTATCGGAGCGCATCTCCTCGCGGGCAATCCCGGCCCCCACGTGTCTAATGGTGAATTCGAGTCGCACATCTCGAGCGCTCCAAAACCGCTCCATTTGGAGCTCGCATATTCCGCTCGTAGATGGCTCGAGTTGGTCATCTTCCGCTCGAAGATCTCTGGCAGCGCCCACCCTGTGGAGCGCCTCGAACATCGCCAAACTTGCTCCACGAGATTTCAGAGATCTCTGCGGAAGTTGACAGGGCGCGCTACGTCATCTCCTTTAACTTGGCCATGGCGCATGCGCGATGATGTTGGTGGGGGTGAGCCGACCGGCCGCGCCGTCGACAGCATTGAGTCGGTCGAGCTGGATCTACTCGGATACGTCGGTCGTTTTACGCGGGATTGTGACGGCTCGAACGTCCCTACCTCGCGTAGATAAGGGATGCAAAGTTGGAACTGGAGCGTGGCAAATCGCAAGCGCTAATATCTGTGATCATGAGAGGAAGAACAAGAAATAGAACGGCCGAAAATCGGACGGAGGCAGACGCCTGTTCATTTTTCCGACTGATTGTTTACTTTTTTACACTCCATGCCGCCGGCGTTTTCTCGTGCAATAAGGCAATACCAGACCAGACAACGACCGCGCAAGTGATGGTTTGTTACCTCTGTGTTTAATAGAGTTGTACCAGAAATCTGAACCTAACCGCGATGGCAATCGGTGTGCGTGCTCCGCCACCTCGAGCCGTTCGAAAGGTATTTGACGGTGGCGAACGCGGACGTCTTGCTCGTTATTTGTGACATATGGGCTCCGCGGTACGTATGATTTCGCTCGGCCTGTGTCGCGTGTTATTTCTGCAGCTAAGCAGTGACAGTTGTCAGTGGTCGTCGGAAAGACCAGTCGGCTGAGGCGATGGTGGGCTTCTCTAGTTCGAGCGGGGGGGAGTTGGGTGGGGCAGGTCGCTGCAAAAATGCGAGTTCCCTTCGTCGTTTCGGAGCGGGTCCAACGGAGCGGAATTTTGCCGCCTTTGCAGAATAAGACGCACAACGTGCGTGCGCCGCCACGCATCGCACGTAAAGAAGTCTACACAAGAAAGCCTCCGGACAGTCACATGAGGTTTGCCTTTTCGATATCGGTGCCGGTGTGAAGGCTCACTATTACGTGCAATGCGTGGCGGCGCATGCACGTTGCGCGTTTTAGACACGGGAGGCGGGTTTTCCCTCGGGTATTTGCGCTCCGATAAGAATCCGTAAGTCAGAATCGCGTCCAAATTGAGCATTTTCTCTGAACGCCGTAAAGTGCTGCACTGCCTGATACCATTGTAACGTGGGTGCATTTAGTAGTTTCCGATGATGCCGAGCGAAATTCTAACTAAAACCATGCCTTTAAAATTCATAATGAACAATTTAAGTACTCAATGTGTATTCATTACGCAAACATATTGAACTCTAATATATTTTTTTAACACAAACCACTAAGGCATCATCCTTTTTTCTGTGCGATGCGTAGTTTTTCCGGGAGCGATTTTACCCGGGTTTCCGGAAACACCCTGTATATGTCAAAACAAATATTTTATGCACTTGGGAATAGAACTCCTCCTGCAGCAATTCTGGCCCATCAGACAATATTGACAACCACTGTTCAGTCAGTGTAGATTAAAACATATTTAGATGGACTATGCGTGTTCAGTGTTTACATACATGAATATACAGAATGGAGTCAATTATGCCCTTAGTAACACAAATATATAGGAGCCATCTGCTACAAGAGGAAATTCAAATAAATAAAGGCCTGTCGAATCCAAGAGAAACTCGATGAATACCAAATGAATAGCATTAAACGTATTAATAACCGAAATGATCAAAGACAACTTTTATCAAGGTGAACAAAAAAAAAAGAACACAAAATAACAAAATCATACAAGACAAAGAGATACATAGAAGTATTTCATGTTGTAAGCACATTGAATGATGTTATCGAAATTCAAGAACTCAAACCGGTAAAAAAAATGTCTAAGATAATTAAGAAATATAAGATAGGAAATAACATTGCATTCCTAATTCTTTGAGTCTTGTATGTGCTGTTCCAGTCCCATGCGTCAGGCATTAGTTTCCAGCTTAATGTGTTAATTAGTTTTCAATATTACTTTATTTTTATATATTAAATTTGTGTTGAACCCTTCCACCAGAATTAGTTGGGGGGCTAGTTGGTTGAACATCTAGACGGTGGTTTAAAAGCGCTCTGTCCTGTCCCCTTCTTCTCTTCTTAGTCCTTTGCGCTTTTAAACCACCGTCTAGACCCCTTCCACTTTACTCGGTTTTTCTTATACTTTTCAACTTCTACATTATACAAAATTGTTGCTATTGAAAGACCTTAGTCATTTTATTATTTAGTATTTTTTAATTATGAGTAGGCCAACTTGTAAGCAGTGTTGTACGGAACGGCGTTCCCGGAACGCGTTCCTTTTAGGGGGAAGAAGGAACGATGCCGTTCCATTTTGCATCGGTGGAAATGGAACGGGAACTCGTTGCATTTTTGTTGAAATGGAAAAGGGAACAGCGTTCTTTCTTTTCGTTCAGTGTTTTTTTTTTTTTTTTTAAGTTCTAAGCGGGAAATTCTGAAAGTATAAAAATAATATTTTTACGAAGAGCAGAATCTCGTTAATTTCTTGGTTAATTATCTAATGGTTCATTTTGTGTGGTCCTTGTTTAAGTAGCAGTCGGCTGCAGGAGAGCTAGCGGACAATTATCCTTTTTTCAGTGTTTGAGACTGCGGTATCAAAAGCAAAACGTTTAGTCAAAGGAAATGAGACAGAAAGAAGGACGTTTCAAACTTTTCTAATTTCTTTGCTTCCACAAATCCTCATACACCCAGAAATATAAAGCCGACTATAGAGATCATTGAACTTTCACAAAGAGACCTAGAGTTACAACAAAAAACAAGTTACGGGACATCGAACGCACCCTTCTATACCGAACATTGCTCACTTAAAAAAAGATACACAAAAATTAACCTTTATTCCTTTTTCCCTAGTACCCCACCTTCAAACGGAACAACGAATCAAACCTTCACAAAGAAGAACTTGTAAGTTTCATGACTGACCTTCAAAAAGCCCTGCCCCCTTTTTCACTTGCTCGTTTTGCGGACAGCAACATCGAGAAGTAACTGTTGTTAAGTTCGATCACGGGACTTTGTTAGACTGAAACGTGTGAGGTTGTTGTAAAACGCTCATGCATTGTGGGGTAACAGTATAACTGGCTCGTTTGAATTCGCCCACCACAAACATAAACGTGGTTAAAGGCTGATAGTTTTAAAGGTGAATATATCAACAAATGAAGCCCTGCTTCCGCTTGCTTTCTTCTCCGTGTGCCCTTCCATCAAGGCATTCAAATTCGTACGTTGCCATTTGATGGGATAGATTAAAAAACAAAACAAAAATCAGCAAAATAAAATGTTATGTATATGTAACGATACGTTCCATTTTTTGCGCTGTAACGGGAACGAGTTCCTTTTTCACATGTGGAACTTGTAACAGGAACGCGTTTTAATAATCGGAAGCAACGAGGAACGACCTTTCGTTCCTCTTTTTTTTAGGAACGTGTACAACACTGCTTGAAAGCAAGATCAATGACCCAACAGACAATTCAGGGACTCCAGGTGCAGCATGTAATTAATGACTCTAGATGACAAAAAAAAATTCTATGCTTCCAGTATTTTTTTTGTGCACAAAAAGAACCGTGGCCGTCATTTTTAAGGTAAATTCACTTTTTTATCGGTCATAACACAAAAAATAACAGGCTGAAATATTTAAAACAATGAAAAACCTACACCGCTCGCAAGTAGAACCCCTGCAGGTGTATCCCCAAATGAGATAAACACACGTCGGAGCTTGAGTATTTTTTTAAATTCCCTCCACAGCTATGGTTCACGTGAGAGTTGCGGTCACTTATGATGTGTATACCGATGTTGGCGTAAACTGCTATGAGACGCAAACACTCTACTGCAGGTCCCGCACCTGTACGGCTTTTCTCCAGTATGAGTCCTCTCATGATCCGCCAAAGTGCATTTCAGAGTAAACGCCCTGCTGCACGTGTTGCACTTGAACGGCTTCTCTCCTGTATGAATTCTTTCGTGATACGCCAATTTGCGTTTCAGAGTAAACGCCTTGCCGCACGTGTTGCACTTGAACGGCTTCTCTCCTGTATGAATTCTTTCGTGATCCGCCAAGTTGCGTTTCAGAGTAAACGCCTTGCCGCACGTGTTGCACTTGAAGGGCTTCTCTCCTGTATGAATTCTTTCGTGATCCGCCAAGGTGCATTTCATAGTAAACGCCTTGCCGCATGTGTTGCACTTGAACGGCTTCTCTCCTGTATGAATTCTTTCGTGATCCGCCAAGTTGCGTTTCAGAGTAAACGCCTTGCTGCACGTGTTGCACTTAAACGGCTTCTCTCCGGTGTGAATTCTAACATGAGCTATCAAGTTAGTCTTATTCGTGAACGTTTTCTCGCAGACGCCGCATGGGAAGGGCCTCTCACCAGTGTGAGTCCTCTCGTGAATGGCGACAGCCGTTGAGGAAGAGCTTGAGTAAGGACAGAAGCGGCACGGGCGCTTGTCCAGTTGTCGGTGCGTTTGCAGCTTGTGTGGGCCCGAATTGTTGGTCTGGGAAGAGGTGCCAACTCTGCGGCTGTCACGGCCAGAGATATCCACTTTGTCGCCATAGTATTCTTCGGTCCAGTCTGTTGGGATGACAGGACAAAGCGAGAAAGGTAAGACCTGTTTTTATTGCTCTGAACGAGAGCTTTGAGTACCTACATGAACATTGTCCTGAATATCTATATTATGTCGATGCGGCCTAAAGTAGGTATTCTTTCATTTAAGATGTTAAGAAGGTTCAGTCGGTATGCTTTTAAAGGGATTCTTAAAGACTAATTCTCTGCCAGCCCCACGGGGCGGCAGCTGTGGTGGCTTTCGCCGTCTGCTAACCAAGTTCGGAAGCGAACTCAAGCCACTGCGGCCGTCGCTGTATAACGCTGTCGGTACGGAGCGGTGGGTGATAGCGTGTTGACGTTCATAATGATCACGACTCTTTGTAAGTAACGCTGGAAGCGTCTTCCAAACAACTACAGTTTAATATATTACGTAAGATAGCAATTCAAAGGCACGTAAAATAATCGTTGTTTACCATAGCACATTGAAATTATGCTTACAAGAATTTCCCACTTCGGAAACGGGATTGATTTGGATACTCTCCAGTTTGAAGTTAAAATTAGGCGACACAAATATTATTGCGTCAAAAACAATTTATATCATTTGTGAGAGCTACTCGATCAATTCAAAGTAAAAACACAATTTTGTAATAAAAAAAAATCAACACGGTACATTTCTCTAATATCAAATAAGGTGTTGCAACTGAAAATTCAGGTGCTCGGTCTGAATGTTCCTTCAGTAGGGCCCAGCTTGTTTGTTTACTTTCACTTGAGTTGTGGTTCTCGGACTTTGAAATAAAATCCATTTATTCCCTCCTCCTTTCCTCTCTCTCTCTCTCTCAAAAAAACTGCGAATTTCGTTGTGGTACTTTTTGTCTGCTTGTTGCAGGCCGCTAATTAAAACCTAATGAAGTTTCCACGTAGGGGAAAGCTGGTGTACCGCATCAGACATCTCACATTTTTCACCTTCTGGAAAACCTAGCATACAAAAATATTTTCTATTTGTGTGGGACCGTTCATGAATATGTGAGGGTTGCCCAGTAAAACGTTGGGACGTGACGTCCCAACGTTTTACTGGGCGAGAGTTATCGATCAATGATAAACTTTTAGTTCGCTCGCTTTTCACTCACATACGTATGGTGACTGGGGTCTCGCGGTCAATATTGTACTTGTCCCGAGTGTACTTATCAAAACAAAATGAATCAGCAGAGCGTTTGGCCTCGCGAATATACAGTTACACCAGAGATTCCAAGAATAACTAAATGGTGGAGACATTTAACCGTAGTACATACTCCTAAGGCTGAGCATGCGCAGTTACTCTGGCGAGGTCACGCGCTCCGCTTGTCCATTTCGTCTCGTTGAGCACTCAATTATAGGAGAATTTGAGCCCTGTACGGCAGCAGAGCTTGAGATCTACAGAGGGGGCTCTTGTTGTCGATCGGATTGAACGGGAAGTAGCAGACCCTTAAGCGCCGTTAAAATATATGCGACCGAGTAAAGACCCGTTCACACTCTTGCGACCTAGAGAGACCGAGAGAGACCAGACCGGTTTTCAAGCCTTTTGCGGCGTCTTAGGACCGGATGCGCTGCAGCGGATCTGGTCCTAAGACATCGGAAGAGGCTTAAAAACCGGTCTGGTCTCTCCCGGTCTTACTAGGTCGCACGAGTGTGAACGGGCCTTTATGGTTTCAGCTTCCGTCCCGTATCACTTCGTCGCGGCACTCGGCTTTTAGCAGACGGCTGCCTTTATTCCGGTCCGTTAACGAAAGACGTGAAAGTATTTTCTTGTTTTCTTTTTGTCTGTGAATGACTCTTCGTAGCAGACGAATTCTGTTGTTCACTTACGTTAGCACACTAATGATCTGCTGACGTTTTCTTGACTCGCTCCGTAAAGTCCTTGTCGGACTGCTCGTACAACAAGAAAAAGGCAGTCTGTAGACACCGCCTGAGGCGCGTTTCTTCCTCCTCACGCGACAGTTCTCTCATATTGGGCCTACTACAACAGTCTGCCAACGTGTTTGAAGCACACACATATGTATGAAGCACCTTCGCACAGATGTGTGCGTTTCAGACATGTCTGCAGATTTTTTAATAGGTTTATTGTGAAAGGACTGGCATAGACGAACCAATTTTGGCAGTTCACACATCTTCGACGGCTTACGACTAGAGTGGCTGTGAACTGTTTTGCGACTGCTGATGACCGGCCGCTTGGACACCGCTCATAAGTAGTCGCAAGTGTTTTAAGAATAAGCGGTCGCAAGCAGTCAGAAATGTCTGAACCTGCCTTGACTTGAGCAAACAATAGAGCAAACACAGATATGGCGCGTGTTGTTTTACAGTTTTAGAAATAAGACTCTATCCCCAGACATTTTGACATAATAAAACAAAAGTTGGAGACACTCCTCAGTTGGTCCGACATACATAGAGGGATTATAGAGTTTACATAAGTAAATGTAGGAAAGCCTCCAATAGGTTTTTAAAGGAGGGGGGGAGGGGGGTTGTTCGGCAGTGTAAGGTAAGTCAGATGATGGAAAGTTCGCGCGCAGCAGGCTCAAGTGCAGTCGTCTCATTTGATCGGGCTCTGTCCCATTCGTGTGAAGGTCAAATGTAGCACAAAGGCCTTGCACAGACGAAGGGGGTCTTGGCTGGTCACAGGCCACCTTTGCAAAGCAGCGAAGTGTCGTTCACATCTGCGGAAAAATAATTCCCGCCAAGTTTGATCTGCAAGGTTTAGAAAGGCGGCGGTTAATAAACAGTAAAGAACGGTAAGCGACAATACCTGTTTGTGCCTTTCACAAAGCATATTTAGCAATACTGAAACTGGGCGCCAAATTTAGGAACAGGTATGTCAAGTGAGGCATAAAAGAGTACAATTAAGTTTTACATTTGCATGAGAGAATTATGCATTGATCACCCCGAACAGATTATGTTAAGAGACAACCCAGCTAATCGGTAAACGATATTTATCGTCCATTTCAACCCCTCCTATATTATGCTGCGAATGAAACCCTGTTCTCGTGAATTTGACACGACATATTCCGTAAACACGATCAGTATTAAAACTTAGGGGCTGAGGAGTATGAAGCTGAGACCAGTGAGGTCTTAGATTAATGAGGGTGAACGGAGTATAGGTGCTTTAGCATCTTCTAATGTCAATCATCCCAGCTTTTTTTTTTCTAAGAAGTAGTTTAGATTTTGACGTCTGCAGTGTGAATCTCCTTTCCTTCGTCAGTCTGCACTGCCTTGGCTGACTGTTAAAAAAACCATCACGAATGAGATTAATACATTCTTGTGTTTTCTAGCTGCGGAACGACCTTAGGTGTCTACTTCTGCAGGTTCATAGCTCCAGTCCTGAACAACAAGACAACTAGGCAGTAGAGGCAGCGGTGACTCCAGATTAGAATGGCTGAAAATGTTGCTGGGCGACCCTCACAGAGTGGTGACAAACCTTGCGTCTGCTAACGGAGGCGCCATCTTGTCTCTAGTCTTTTATGAGCTCGTTACGCTGCTATTGTCATTGAGCATTACCACTCGTGAAAAGGCGGCGGGTGACCGCAGGAACACGCAGCGTTACAAGTTTCATCAAGGATGCGTTTCTTATCGGCGCCGGTCAGGAGGGAGAAGACACGATGGTGGCAGCAGTGAAAAAAAGGCGGCGCTTGGCCACCACAAGGATTTAGCCTTGCAAGCCGCAGCCAGCAAGAAACATTGAGGCATTCTACTCCCGACCCATCCACAACCGCTGCTTTACGGCGATAGCTTTACGGTGACACTCTGCAGAAATTTCTGCGGGGGAACCGATCTAGATGTGTTTACAGATCTGTTTAAAGAAACCCGTGAAAGTTACACTTATGCGGTTTTTGCAGGTGAGTCATACGGCCAGGGGAACATTATGTGGGTGGATAATCTTTGCGATAAGTCGGCTAATAATCAAAATACGTTAATTTACTTTTTATTACGTGAAAATAGACACATGGCTCCCATCAGGAACCTACTCAGCGTCATCGAAGACCACTTAATCAAGTCTTTTTAGGACGACTTGAAGCTCGTGGGAAACTCGGGGGCGCGCCAAAGTCACCACTCGTGAAGCAGCCGCAAAGCTAGCAGTGGCGACACGCGAATGGTTGGATTATCATCGCGTTCCGACACTGCTAGCTTTGCGCCTGCTTCACGAGAGGTAACTTTAGCGCGCTCCCGGGTTTCCCACCAGCTTCAAGACGTTCTAAAAAGAGTTGATTGAGTAATCTTCGATGACGCTGAGTAAGTTCCTAATTAACGCCATGTGTCTATTTGCACTAATTAAAAGAGTAAATGAGCGAATTTTAATTAATTAGCCGACTAGTCGCAAAGATTAGCCATCCACATAATGTCCCCCTTGGCCGTATAACTCACCTGCACAAACCGCATAAGTGTAACTTTCACGGCTTGGTTTAATAAAATTTGTAAAGCTTAAAAAAAACTGTAATGTGGATTTACTCGGATAGTGCCCTTAACTATGATCTAATATTCAGGGAGCTATTCATGGTAAAAATTAAGATAGGAAGGTCGAAACATGTAACTATTGATTATTAAGAAAATCTTGGTTTCTCAAAATAATTCGGATCACTACGTGAACAACACGATGTCTTATAAGAAATCTATGGTAATTTAGAGCAGACTTCGACGTAGTCTAGCTATTCTACTCGGGGACGCAGAGCTGAATCCCGGCCCCACGCGGTGTCAGATGTCTCAGGAACTAGGTTCCATGACAGAGGCACAACTAAAACAATTTAATGATATGTTCACTCTTTTACAAGGTGTCAATCCCCGTACGATAAAAATGAATAATGAACAGTCGGACCTAATCAAATACGTAAATGATATTAAAATAAATCAGAAGTCACTTCAGGGTAAAGTCACGGAAATCGATAAGAGACGATCTGCCGTCGAGACTAAAAGCACCGCTTGTGAGGTCGTCCAACAAGAGCTTGTAACGTTGCGCCAACAAGTTGCATCCCTTTTAAATGATAATGCCACGTTGATGGTTAGTC